CAAGTGTTTAGAGCTCGCAGTTTCCTTTGCCTGGGGATGCTCTCCTACCGAACTGCATCACTTGCTCCTTTGCTTCTCCCCCCATTTCCTATAATTGTATTTACATATTAAACTTTTTTGTTTCCTCCAGGAGACAGAAGCTGTCATTTTGTTACTGTAATGTCAGTAAGCTAGAAGAATGGGCACCTAATTAAATATTCATTGAATGAATGAATAAATAAGTGAACAATTATAACCAAAACACAACCTGTCCTAGGAAATACTGGTCTATTTGTTTGTTGCAGAGTTGGACTGTCCTCAAAATACATGCTTCTCTGAACTCTTCTTTTCCATATTTCTAGGTTTTAATCTGAGAGGTTTTAATTGGCAATGCTCAGTAAATTTCTTGGAAAACAACTCGAGTTCCCTTAGCTAGCAAAAATATTTTTTCTAGAAGGAAATAATTCCCTAATTTCTTTCAGTATATTAGTTTTTTAGAATAATTTACTCTTACAATGCATATTTCATATATCTAAACCTTGATTTATATTATAGAAAAAGTTTATTTTTTTTTTTTACTTTATAGATTGTTAAACACTTAATTGAAGGCACTTTTTTGTTTCTTACTGAACCTGTCCATCTTCTTCTTGGACCACTAATGTGAAAACATAAGTTATGATAAAGTTATAAGTGTGTGCTAAGTTATTGCTGGGACATATTTTCCTTACCAACATTTCATGGCTTTCTTCTTTAGGTGAAGGAATGATATAAAAATATTAGGACTATATTTGACTGTTATTTTCTTCTCTAATCTTTACTTTTTGTGCAGAGGCAAAAACAGGTGATTGTACTGAATAACAACGTAAGTCTTGTGGCTCTCAGAGTATACAACCAGGTAGAAATGCCAATGGAACACCAGTGGCAACAGTAATAGTTGAGATTTGAAGACTGAATTATTGGACAAATAGAATGTGCATTTATTATAAAATGTATTTGATTGGCTTGAATATATTCTGATTTCCATATGGGCCCATCAAAACTATCTGGAAGGAACTCACAATATTATGAAGCATTTAAAGAGGATTTGGGGGTGATCACATTATTTTAGTGTTTCTATGTTGTTCTATGAGTTTTAGGGGTGTTCTGTGATGAAATGAAGTATTTTTGGGAACCTATACGCTATCCCAAGTAGCTTTTATTACTTTTCACTGAACTTGAAATTATTTTGAAACACAGTTATTATATCTAAATATAGTTGTTCCTTACTAAGCTGAAATAAAGGGATTTCATTACTTCTCTTTTTGGTTCTTCCATCATCATGAATTCAACTGGAGGGCATAGGTCTTTTTGTATGGTTAGTGCAATACAGTTATCACTTAGCTACAATTCTTACCTTTTTGGAGACTATCACTTTTTGGTGATGTAGTTAATGACACAGTATATATATTATTTGTTATACAGACAGTTACTATGCATGCTACAACTTTGTTCTTTGTTGATGATTTCTATTTGATATTTGGAGAAAAGCATATGATTTAAATTGATTATCTCTTAATGAATTCTATCTGTACAGGTTAATGAAATTGTGATAGGTAGCAAATAAAGACACAATTTTAAATAATGTAGTCTTTAATCATTTAACTTTCAAGTAAAAACATGCATACACACATATACATACACACACAGCCAAATAGGAAAGACCAAACGTGTTCCTAAGAACTTTATAATACGTATCTTTCCAAGATAAACCTATACAGCAAGATTAAAAGTATTTGTATTAAGAATTTATAGAATGATCTGAGGAAAATTATATCTATAATTTTGCATTACTTTCAACTAGAGTCTGTGCATTTATTTCTCAGAACCCCCGAGTACTCTACTAATATGATCATATAAATCTATACTGCATGTTTATCTTTGTCAGTATTATCTTTGATATGGTAGTCCTTAGGGAGTATTAATTGCTAGCTATCTTGTAGCTACTTAACAGCAATATTGAAACAATTACTAAGTATTTATGAGAATGAGGCATTCATTTATTTATTGCCTTAATCCAAAAAAATCCCATAGCACTTGACTCAAGCACATAACAGTATAAAAATGCCCATTTATTTTGTAGGAATTATTCCTTTCTCCTCTATACTACCCACTACTCTACCATCCTTATAAATTCCCTACTCTTCCTTTTCTATCCTGCTAAAATCCTTCTGCTTTATTTAGATGCTTTAGATGCTTTAGCATCTTTATTAAGATGGCATCTGAAGTCACAGGAATGGCTTCAGTCATGTGCTTGCACACACTCTTTCTCTATATCTGTACTGCACACACACACAAATATATAAATATTAAACTTCCTTTCTGACTTTTGTGCTCATAATCGGTATAATGCTTCTTTGATTATTTGTCAATCTAGAAGAAACTAGAGGGCTATGAGGTAATTTCTTTTGTTCCCTGACAATTGATTCAGAATAAATGATTCCTACATCAAGGGCTATAAATAGCCTTGCTTTAAATAATACATAAATAAAAGCACATAGAAAAAACAATAAAAGATCATATGACTTGTCAAAGGAAGAAAATGAGGATCTGATACTTATCAACCTTTTGAATTTATTGTTGGATACTTAAGATATTTGATGTATAAATACAAATAAGAGGACTTCATAGTATACTCAAATTGTTATTTTAAATGTCCTGCAAGACTTATAAGCCAACTTAAAAAGTATATTTCTCCTTGAAGAGATGTATGAAATAGAAAGAATTATCTATGCTACATTAATGACAATCAGAACATACAAAAAATATTTAAAATGTTATTTCTTCTCTCTTTTTGATAATAATCTTTGTTACGTTATTGTGACAGAGTGGAATCTTTCCAAATAATTTATTTCACTAACAAATATGTTCCTCATTTTAAAAAATAACGTTCAATCATTTATCCAGATTGTTATCTATTTAATGTTACTTCTGATAATTAAAGTGCAAAATTTTGACTTATTCACAGCGACACTGAGCAAAAAACAAATTAAAAACAACTCATTGTTTCTGGAGTCAGACATATCTCAGGCTGAACACCAGTCAAGCCACTTTCTATGGACTAAATGGATAAATTAATCTGTCTGAGCTTCAAATGCTCTGAGAATGAAATGGTCAACTCTATGTGTAAGATGCCTGACACACCAATAATGATAACCATATAATGGAGTTACTATGAGTTCTGTGCTATGCCAAATATATTAACCCTTTATAAATTTAATCTTTATAGTATTCTACTCGAGTTGAAGTTATTTTAATCCCATTTTATAGTTGCAGAAGTATGGAGATTTTAAACAAGTTAAACAAAGTTGTACTAGTCTTAAGTGGCAGGAACAAAATGGCAGCAGAAGTCCATCTGTTGGATTATCTACTGATGTGTAATAAGTTATCCAAAACGTAGAGGCGACAGGAAAGAAGGGTGGTAATGTCGAGTTGGCTCATCATACAGCTGTCAATTTAGTCCTATCTGCAGGGGCTTCAAGGGCGCATTTGAGCCACACAGGGGCTTCCCCACATAAGGTGAGTCACAGGAATGAGTATTGCAAAAGGACAAGCTCCAAAGTGCAAACAGGTGAAATACTTCGACTGGCATTATACTTACTCACGTCCAGTGGCCAAGGCGAGTCGCATAGAGACAAACCCAGAATCAGTGTGACAGACACCACCACAAGAGCATGAATACTAGAGCCCTATGAAGGTGGGCGAAAGGAACAGCCCACCTCAGAATTTGTCATTGAAAGCAATCTTTTTGTCCCTCTCCAAACTAGCACCACTGTCAACAATCTACTTCCCTTGGCAGTATGTTGGCCAATGCTTTGTGAGAAGGACATGGTAGTTTCAGACAGAGCCAATCACAAGTATTTAGTAAGCTTTTACACTTTCCTCTTTCCAAACTGGACATCAAATTTGAATTTAATTTAAATGTGGTTAGAGGAAATTTCTTGTTTTATGAATGAAAAAATACCTCTCAAAAGTTTAAATTATTTTATGAGTTTTAAATGTCATTCTATATTGGATTTTATACATTAAAATTCATTATTGAATAAAATATGGAAAATACAGTTGAGCTTTAGGCCCTATAGTGGTTAAAGTAAAAATGGTTATATAACAATCAGCATTTGTGATTTATTTTGGATTTTTTAAGAAACTTCTTTTCTCACTTTCTATAGGAGCAGGATTTTTTATTCAAGAATTATGTATGTTTTCATTTGATATAAGTAAATAAAAATAATTTTAGTATTAATTATGAATCCCAATAATTATACAGAACTTTTTATAGAAAGTTTTGCCCATATAAAACATTTTATATTTGTATATGAAACTTTTATATCCAAACAGAATTATTATTATTATTATTTTTAAAGATTTTTTTGTTCATACTTAACTGGGGTACAGGCCAGAGGTGCAGGGGTGGTGAGAGGATTCACCAGAGACAGAGTGGGGAGTAGAACAGGTAGATAGATGAAGTACACTGCTGAGGGGAGGAGCGGTCAGGAGAGGTCTGCCACGCCATGTGGATCACCTCGAGACAGGCGGGGATCGAACTCATGCGGAAGTGGCTTTAACTTCTTAGTGCTGTGCTTTAACCTGCTGCGCCACCAGGGAGGGCCCCCAAACAGAATTATTTTATCTTAATGATCCAAAATGTTTAAACTGTTTCTTCTATTAATATTCCCCAACATTTAGAGAACTGTAAAAGAAGTAAATTAGAAGCCTAGAAAAAATATATAGCTCCTTATACTTATCAAATTCAATTAGCAAATAATTTGTAAGTAATAAATACCATGTCAAAGCTGTTTGGTGATCAATTCAAACTCTGATAATGTTATAGCCTACTGTCAAGAATTTAAGGGATGTTATCAGAAGATATTTAAACTAAGTTTTACCCTGAATGGCCATGACTTTGCTATTAAGTCTTAAGAAAAAAAAAAAAAGAAACTGAATTATATATAAAAGAAATAATAGAAAAAAAATCAGTTACTTACTTTTTGTGACAACACCTTCTAGGCGAATAATATTTGGGTGGTCAAACTGACCCATGATACTGGCTTCTCTTAGAAAATCTCTTCTTTGCCGATCCATGTGGCCACCTTTTAATGTCTTGATGGCTACTGGGATTTCTCTTTTCCCTGGTGTCTTCAAACGCCCACTACAGACTTCTCCAAATTCACCTTAAAATATGGACAAAAGCAGTTGTTTGTTGATACAGAATACTTAAACCCCATGATATTTGATATGTGAAATTTGAAATTGTCATAACACCATTTTGTTTTTTATGTAATGTCTTGTGTGTCATGGATAATTCTTTCTTAAAAATTGTAATAACAATATGCCTTATCAGCACTATTTGTTGTGAATAATGAAGTACATTTTCATATGCTGTGCCACAGGAAGTGCTATTGAAAGATACCCTGATCTGTTGAGAAATTATGCCTAGCAAAATGGATGATGCTAATGTGACTCTATAGAAAATCAATCAATGCTTAACATTTCTTTTTACTGTTCTCAATATGGACCAAATTCCTGCTTAACTCAAGGAACTTATCAGGCATGTGCAGTTGATTTGCTCCTGTAGGTCATATGAACTTATTGAAAAGACCACACTGAACCCAACTATAAGAGCTGATTATACAGACTACATTACAAGTCACATGCTTAGAATATGAACCCAGTAAGATGATCTGTCACCAATGGTGCCACTGGGCAGATTAGATAATAGCCAAATATTTATCCTCATTTTTCTTTCTTTTTCTCTCTTCCTACCCCTCCCCCCCAGCCCCCCACTCCCTCACCCCCCACTAAGAATTACAAAGAAGTGTAATACTTGATCTCTGTATCCGGGCTTACAATTTAATGAGAGAATTTAGATAAACACAAGAAACACTTAACGACCTAAGAACCAATTCCTGCAATTGCTGTATTAATGAAGAGAAGGCAGTAGAAGACCTCCTGAAGGAGGGGAAACATTTGTTGAAACTTTAATGAAGAGTATGATATTTGCTATCTAGTAAAAGTGGGGGAAGGAGTGAGGGAAGTGAGATAAAAAATTCAAAGTAACAAACAGTAAAGAGAATGATGTGTATACAGAGCAGAAAGAGATAAGGCTGACTATAAAGTTTACTATGGAAAAGGAGGTTGGAGACCTTTTCAATGTAATACATTTAATATAATTTAAGATATCAGACAATTTTCTAGAACCAATTATATGCAATTACTTAGGAGCATGACACTTGACCACAAGTTTATTAAACTATAAAGTGAAAATAATACCACCTTATACAGTGTTATAATATTTCTTTTCCATAAGCATACTGGTAATTAAGTTCTTGCAGTAGATGTCAATTATCCATATTTTCTTTGTACCAATACATTATAGTCCATTGAGTGTTCACAATAGCATCAACACCAAAAGATCAACTATTTTTTGGTGCAGATGTTATGCAATTTTTTTTTTTTGTAAAATAAAATAGCTAGGAAAAAACACAAAGCTTTACTTTCACAAATCATATGTAAACAAGTCCATTAGTAATTTTAAGCAGTCTACCAAGGAATTTGTTTTAGGAGAATTTTAATAACTAAACAAAGAACACAAACTAGAATGTGGTCCTTGAATTCAAGGCATAAGATACTGAGTTTTAAAAATCTAATGTAAATTTTGCAGCAACAAAATGATATATATATTTTTTAACTTAATGATGATCTTAACCTTTTGGGTATTAACTGATTTGATCTCCACAGGTAAAAGATGCTCTATTTTAATTATTAATATTTTTTTATTTTTAAGTGATTTTTCTCTTGTATACAAGAAAATTTCAGCTATAGAAATTCTCATAATTTTTCTATGGAGGCTTTGAACCTGAAGATACAATGTGTGTATTGTATTTAAATTGATATGTAATATATACAGAGCAAATGTGCAATTAGTTCTCAGATAATTTTTGTAATGAAGCAAACTTTTTTCTTATTTTTTCTTCATCTTACCTTAGTACATTTTTTATTAACAAGTTTCAGTAAATATATTGACAATTATCTTAAAATTACTCTCCTGAAATTAATCCACAGTCCAAATAATTTTTATCTTAACATTTCATAGTAATTTAAGTACACTTGAATATAATAAGTGAATAAAGAGCTCTGTTGGTATTTTATAAAGGCAGACATAGCAGTAATTTTCTTAGGTTTTCTGTTGTCTGAAATTCATGTATCTTATTAACACCAGGCAGGTGGTTTCTTCATGTCAAGCTTTGCATGATCAAGCTGTTATCACACTTATTTCACTGACACTAAATATGGAAACCTCAATTAAAGATCTGAGACTCCTACAGCCTTGTTGAGTCAAAGTCCAAAATATTCAGTCAGACAATATATAAAAACATTTATCGTGATACACCTGAATATATAACATATCAGGGCAAGGAGAAAAAAATGCTTTAAATTTAATAGATTCTTTAAGTCATTTCAAAGACTCCTCCACTACATGACTGTTATAGCAAGTATGAAAGCACTATCTATAATCATAAATAAGAGAAATCACTCTGTAAGACCTGTGAAAGTGTATATATGTAGTCAGTCGTTCAGAAAAATCACTGAGAATAGAAATATCATGTTCAGTATATATATATATATATCTTTTCCTCACTATGATAAAGCTAGCTCCTATGTTGTGCTTATCATAAGCCTAGTGTAAAAACGTTATATCCTAATCTCAACAACCCTTTGAGGCAGAAAGCATTATTATGTCCCCTCTAAGATGAGAAGACAAAAGAAACAACTTCTCCAAAAGAACTTAACTAGAAAGTGGTAACTTAGTCATTCTGACTGGAGAGTCCATGCTTGCAATCATTATTTTTTGCTCTCTGGGACACTTACCATTCATTATCAAATTTTCATATATTAGTATGTTAAATCCCCAACAGATAATATGGTATAAACTATTATATAATATATAGACATGTTAACTTTATATGCAAAGATGGATGGAATGTTAAAACCATATACTAAGAATCCTTCGCTATAAAATTGAAATGAAAACCAACTCAAATATTATAGATGATCTGGAAAAATCACTCCAGTCTGCCTCATTTCATGGGAGCAAAGAAAACTGTATCTAGGATAATTAATCTTCTGTCACTAACAGCCCATTCACTGGCTAACAATCCCATCTATCTCTTTAGATGGTGGTAAAATCTTTTCAGACAAGCAATTTTGTAGTATCATATAAAGGGTCAGATGAAAATATCACTGAGTATTGGCTTTTCCACAGAAAGGCTTTAATATAAAATGAAAACTTTTAGAGGATTGTGGAGATAGTGAGGGACAGTCCCTTTTAGAGGACTGCCATCACACTAACCTCTGGAGACTTCCAAAATGTTATACCTCCTGGTCTGAGATTTTGGTACTCCCCTACATGCTAACTTTTGAAATCATTGTAGCCGTTTTGATCTCCACAGGTAACTGACTCCTGATATTGGTGCAGCGGGTTGAAGCACAACACTAAGAAGCTAAAGCCACTACTGTAAGAGTTAGATTCCCGCCTGCCCGGGAGCTGACCCACATGGCACCACAGACCTCTCCTGACCCACCTGCTGCTCCCTTCAGCAGTGTACTTTGTCGATCTGCCTGTTCCACTCCCCATTCATTCTCTGGTGAATCCTCGCACAGCCCCTGCACCTCTGGCCTGTGCCCCAGTTTTGTATGCATAAATAAATAAATCTTTAAAAAAAAAACCAAAACATCTTTCTGGTGTTTCTTCACACTTGCTGTTTTCCTTTGGTGGGAACGTTCTCTCCACAAGTTGTGCCCCTCCCTCCAGTCTCCATCCTCTTTAATACATCTCTATGTGGAAGACATATCAGTATAGGCTAAGATGTAAGGCTGTTGCTTAAGGAAAATAGCCTCTGATTATCTAATTTAGTTTCCCATTTCCAAGTGAATAAGAGAAAAGCAAAACAGCAGCTCTTCAGTCATTAATTTGCTTCAATTTCAAAACAGAATGCCTAAATACTATGTGAATTCAATTTTCAAATTTTGCTTCACATAATCAACTTTTCTTCCTTAGTATAAATTCAATAGGAAAATATTTTTAAATAGGATGTAAAAGAGTTAAAATATTTTTAAGTCGATTCAAAAGAGATATACTGGTCTTTTGGGGTCTTAGATAAATTCTATTATTATTAATGTTGTCCTGAGGCTCTCTTACCCAGTTGTTATTCGTGATCATTCTAGGGTGAAATACTAGAATCTAATTTTGTTTGATCTCCTGCTAATACAAAACTTACAAGCAAAAGAGAACACATGTTTAGAAAACTTAAAAATCTCACACAAGCTGACATATTTGAATGCACCTGGTTCAATCTTACAGAAAGGTTTAACAAGACACTCAATTTTCTAATGTTTAGTGAGGCTCTTCAGTGATAGGAGGATTCAGCCATCAGAGAGGACAGAATTATGGCTTCACCAGTTATTTGTTTTGTGTCACTAAAGGAAGATACATTGCTTTTTCACGCTGCAGTGTTATTGTTGGTGGGTTAAATACTTATGCTCTGTTTACTTCTTGAGACAGAAAGAATAACATGTAAATATTTGCAATATGTGTCTTAGAAAAGCTCCATAAAACCAGAATCTTTTAAAATTTTACTGATACCACAGAGGACATGTTACACATGCCACTCTGCGTAACCTTCATTGCTCAGTCCCTGGAATGTGAAGAAAGTCCAGCATATTGCTTATTTATTGAATATCTTATTCATAGTATTTTTGATATTCAACTTCACTGATACTCTTTCCCTAAAAGAGAGTCATCCTATCTTTTTCATGGTAAGAAGATTTTTATTTGAAATATAGTTTGAGCACTATGATCATACTGAAAACATTTTTTATTCCAGGAATCATCCTGGATTGGATGCCTCTCAGTGTACCTGTTTTCTTGCCTCCAGAAAGAGCTCCTCTTTAGACTGAACAATACATGGGATGCAGCAAAGTGGTATTAGGATGGAAGTGTATGTCAGTATAACCATATAATCTAAATTTACTTTTGAAGGTACTAGAAAGAGAACAAACAAGCCAGAAGTCAGCAGGAGGAAATAATAAAAATTAGAACAAAATTAAGTGAAATAGAAACCAAAAATATGGTACAAAAGATTCATGAAACCAAGATCTGTTTCTTTGAAAA